GTTGCCTTGAGAAACTTGGTATTGCACCTACTGGCTCACTTCAAACTCAAAGTGTACTTGAAACTGCTGGTGATTGTATCGCTGAAGGTGGAAAATTGGGAATTTTTACTCCTATGTATTTGTTAGTTGGTAGAAAACCTGTTGATATTGATTTGTAAAAAAAAAAAATAATATATATATTATTATTTGAAGTGGAGGATTTAGTGGAGGATTTAGTAGGTGAATGGTAGATCAAACTTTGTGTGGTTTTGTCCGCACCTATTTTTAGATCTAATGCTCGTGTTTTACTAATTTTATAACAGTATCTGTTTTTCTAATAATAATGCTTTTACTAAAACATAATTATAATGTTTTGTTTTTTAACACCTATACGGTATATGCATTGTCTCAGAAACTTGCTAATTAATTTGTGTGCAGTACTCTAAGATGTTCTACAATTTTATATGCAAACTTAGAAAAAGATATAGGTGCAAAAATGTGCATTTCAGAATAAATGATATATATGTGGTCAACACTCACTAAAACGAACTAGCATAGCTGATAGCATACAATAAAGATATCATTATCATTGTAATACGTAGCTTATGTTATAGCAATTTTCTTACGTAATTTTGATGTGCAAATAGATCTGCATTTTTTTACTTTTTTTTCCCGAAAATTATTTTAAAAATGTTTTTACCACCGGTTCAACATGGAGCAACGGTACTTAATCGTGAATTGTTTCGACGCACCGTTGAAGTTATTGGAGTACGTGTACCTACAAACTCAGTAGCAAAGTTTTTAAAAGTAGTGAACAAGTAAGTTTAATAAATAAGATTTATGTACGTTTTTTTATCTGTGAATTTTGTTGATTGTTTAATGAATATAGAGATTTGTTCAATCAACCAAAACTGAAAAATGTTGTGAACGATCCTGAATCATCAAATACAAAAATTATCTTGTTGAATCCTAAAGTTGAAAGTTTAGGTATTGTCTAGGTACATTCAAGTCTATCTAAACATTAATTTTAAATGAATATTATTTCTAAACTTTTAAGTGTTGAATGAGAACTTTCTGTTATATACAAATAGTAATAGTATAACGTTTTATCTTTTGTATAGAATTGGATAATGTATCTAGCGAGATTAAAAATTTCATAAAGAATGAGGGACTTGGTATTTTAAAGCATTCAGTTGAATTGAATTATGAGTACTGGGGAGCTGGTAAATATCTATAATGGTATATGACGTCCTAATAAAAAAGTTCAATAATATTTAACTGTATGAAACTATTTGTATACTGGATGCTAAGATGATATAATTAAGGCAATATTACCAAGTGGTGTTGAATCTCCAACATCGTTTACTCAGGTTGGTCATATTGGTAAGAACATTTATTTTTTACAAGGAAATTATAATTTATTTTTGATTAATGGATCTAACTTTATCTATCAAATTTAGCACACATGAATTTGCGTGATGAATTCCTTCCATGGAAATATATAATTGGTCAAGTTATTCTCGATGTAATTACCTTTATTTTTCTTAATTAAGACTAGACGAACATCAAATATCTAAATTTGTAAATTCAATTAGAAAAATCCAAAGATCAAAACTGTTGTCAATAAGACAGATATGATAGACACAACATATCGATTTTTCAAGATGGAAATTTTAGCAGGGGAAAATAATATGATTGCAGAAGTGGTTTGTTATAATCTATTTCATCATAGTTTAATGGCACCATAAATCAAATTTTTAATGCTAATTATGTATTTTCTATTATATTAGAAAGAAAGTAATTGTAGATTTCGTTTTGATTTCTCACAAGTATATTGGAATTCGCGGTTACATACCGAACATAACCGTTTATTGTCAATGTTTAAAAAGGGCGATTATATATGTAGGTGAAATTTATAAGCATAAATGAAACATTAGTTCTTTATCACACTTACTGTATGTTTATCATACTTAACATACTTATTATACTTACTAACTCACATCGATTAAAATTTATATAGGTGATGTGTTTGCTGGTGTTGGTCCATTTGCAATTCCAGCCGCTAAAAAAGGGTGCATCGTGTATGCAAATGATTTAAATCCTGCATCATATAACTACCTTGTTGAAAACATTAAATTAAACAAGGTAATCATTGTTTTAATTAGTTTAGAATTCCATAACTTAATATGCAATTTATTTACCTTATATCTGGTTTTTTTGTTAGGTACAAGATAAAGTTCATCCATATAATTTGGATGGAAAATTGTTCATAAGCAAGGCCGTGTTGGATCTACAAAAAGCATATGACGATAATTCAGAATCATCTAAAACTTCAAAAGTAAAAAATAATGCGACACTACAAAAACAGATATCTTATAATTTCAATCATTTTATCATGAATTTACCTGCAACTGCTATAGAATTTTTGGGTAATTTGATCACTATTATCTTAATATTATCAAAAATTGAGAATTTATGGTCCTGACCGGATTTTTATCATCTAGATGCATTTAAAGGTCTCTGGAAAGATAAAGAGGCATTGTTCAAATCTTTAAATTTAGAGCTACCAATGATCCACTGTTATTGTTTCTTTAAGAGTGATACGCCAGAGGCCGAGATTGTTGAAGTAAGAAATATTGAATTATTTAGAGAATTATTTAGAGAATTTTAAGGGGTATTTCAATTATTAATTTTTTTTTTTGAAATTGCGTTCAGCGAGTCAATGCAGTTTTAGGATATCCTTTACAAGAAGATATGTATAAAATTTACTTTGTTAGAAAAGTAGCACCTAATAAGGATATGTTTTGCGTTAGCTTCCGGTTAAATCAAGCTGTTGCTTTTGTTCACGGAAGGTATTTTTCATTTTATTAGAATTCATATCTGATATGTAATCTTATATTCATACTAAATACTATTTGTATTTTTACGATTTCTTAGTGAAAAACGTAAACAAGACTCTGTAAAGGGTGTACCTCATGTAGACGATAGTACGTCCGTTGAAGACGATGACATCACTAAGCAAGTTAAAAGACACAAATTGGAGGATCAATAAATAATTATTTCGTGCATTTATGGCTTGAGGACTTTACTGTCTGTGTTAAATACAATTAAATAACGGTTATAATATTACTGTATTAATAAAATTTGAATTGAAATATCCTTCTGTTCATAATATTAAGCTTTTTTTACTCTGTAATTGGCCGCAAGCGAAAACTTTCAAGCCTTGGATACTGGATCTTAATTTAAAATACTTAGTGGCCGACTTTAATTAAAAAAAAATTGTTTCAGAACAAAATTTAGCTATATAAATATGACCGTTCTAGCAAAATCATAATAAAAAAATAAATGGACCCTTTCTAACAAATTTTATTTAAAAAGTTGGCTAAATGTAATTTACTGTATTTTCGCATAATAATGCTCATGAGCGTTATTTCGAAATCGTACCACCTAAAAATTACACACGTATGCGAAATGACGCGTCCCGAAATAACTCCTATGCTTAGGTCAATGTAAGTCAATATAAGTCAATGTAAACTAGCTAATCACGTAAATGTTTTCTTATGCCGGACGTCAGCTTTATCTCAAAATAGCGTACTCCAAACAACACGTAGGTGGGTGTTATTACGCGAAAATACAGTATACTATAAGCAGATCACGAATTAGGTTTATATTCATATTGTATAATTACTTGTGTGTATACTCCTGGGATTTGGGGATGATTTTATGCTTGGGTATTCTGAAAATTTATAGTTTCGGTGCCAATTATATCTGTGAACGTTATGGAAATTGCATCCTTTAAAGCATCATATTTGGTTCAAGATAATGCATATGCGCGTCCTAAAATAATACACACTTTATATGACGTATATATCAGATATATATCAGCTTTAAATGTTTGAATCTTTATTTCGAAATAATACATGAGTGTCTCAAAGTAATGCACAGTGGATAAAATAACGTATAGAGCGCGTTATTTTGCGATCATACGGTATTATATTTTTACTAAGTGTAAGCTAGATGTAAATCAAATTGAATAATCATAAAATTATATGAAGTTCGAGATATACATGAATATAAAGCTATACAAAAAATTTGATTTTACATTTATTATCCACACGGTCATTATATAAAATTAATTACATGAACACAAATAGATGTTTGAATGTATTTAATTATTTGTTTTGATATTTATGCTCCAAAAAAAGTTAGTTTTATTCAAAATTGAGTCTTGTAATCATGACAAACTTATTTACAATTTCATTTTCTACCAACAATAGGAGACCCTTCCTTACCAGCATATTCGGTCCAACTTCCATCATAGACCGCAAGTTTTTTGGCACCAATTTTTTCCAAAGCAGTATAAAGCATCGTGGCAGTGACACCACTGCCACAGCTTAATACAATAGGTTTTTCTAAGTCAACATTCTTTGATTTAAAGAGGTTCTTTAATTCATCATCATTCAACAATGTTTTTTTGGTATTTGGATCAATGATTGAATTGAATGGTACTGAGATAGAATATGGCATGTGCCCACTAGGGAGTCCAGGCCTTGGTTCGGATGCATCCCCAGTGAAACTTTTGATAATAATTAGAATTTATTAATGTTAAATATAAAAAAAAAATAATGACAAATTAATAAAACAAATACCGTGGTTCAGGCCTAGCGTCCAGAACTTGTTCAAAATTTAGAGAATCATTACCATTGTCAATATTTTTCCTAATATCATCATAATCCCTCACGAGTGCTGTATTTAATGTTGGAACTTTGTACGATTTTTGCTATAAAAACAAATTAATTACAATCTTATATACATACATATATATATATATATTAAAAAAAAAAATTAGAAATCAAAATTTAGTCTTCAAACTTACAACAATGTCGATTGGACCACTCTCGACCGGCCTACCTTCTTCTAACCATTTAGGTAGCCCTCCATCAAGAAGAGATACTCGTTCATGTCCAAAGACCTTTTATGTGTGTGATATAAGGAAAATCATGAGATATTTTAGGTTTGAAGGTAAAATAAAGAATTTGAAGATACCTTAAAGGTCCAATAAACTCTTGTTGATGAAAATATTCCTGATACCAAGTAAAATATTAATAATAAATAAATAAATAAATAAATGGGAATTTTTCTTGGATTACCAATTGAATCATAAACCACCACATGGTCCTTTTCAGATATTCCAAGGTTACCTTTGTAAAAAAAAAAGATACATTAATTATTTGAATAAAAGGATGATATTGATACAAGGATTGCTTCACGGTCAAATTAACAAACCTACAGCATCCGCAAATTCTTTTGGAGTTGGCAACATATGCGGTAAATCGCTAGTCTTGTCTTTAATTTCATCAATTCCAAAAAATCTCGCATTCTTTTAATAAAAAAAAAAAAAATTATATTATCATCAATACTCATAAATTTAACATATATGATAGAAGGTAATAAAAAAAAAAACACCTTCAAACGTGTTTTAAAGTATTCTTCATAAGGATTTCTATTAGCATTTGGCATATGCCATGATCCATCAACAGGTATAATAGAATCATAATTTTGCGCAACCCATTCAGTAGTAACGATATTATTTACTGAGGATGATGACGAAAACATTGCTGTTGTACAGAGCCAATAATTAAAATTGAAAAGAATATCATTAATGCGGGTAATATTTTATCGTTACATTGACGGATTTTGTGTTAACATCAAAAATATGATTACCGCGTCCAAATCCAAGACGCACAAAAGTTGATTTGGGTGAAGATTTTAAAATTGGATTCACTCTAATATTTTTTGTGAATGTTATATGAATAGACCGAAAGAATTGCATGATCGATAGATTAACTAATTATTTGTCATTTAAAATTTTAAATAAAAAAAATTTAGTAGATTATCGCTATAAAAATGTCACTTTCACGCGATGATCGACGGCAAAACTTTATATAAGAAACTACCTTTTGTGCTAAATTGATATGAGTCACCCTAATCTATACACGAATTTACTTTATTTTCGCGAGTAATACAAACCCAAAAAAGGGAATTTGGTGTGGTTCCAAACTTTTTGACCCGTTTTTTTTGCTGTATTTAATAAATTTAGAAAACTGCTTTTAAGCTGCTTTTAGTCACTAGCGAAGTTGTAAAAGAGTAATGTATTTTTACAAATTCTAGAAAGTTTTGTGATTTTTGTATTAGTTTTCTAAATCAAACACGTGGTCTCGTCTCGCTGATCTGATTTTGAGATTTTGGGGTCTTAAATTTGAATTTACTAATACTCTTTTATTAACAACTCTAACCATGAATTCTAACTAATCCTAAAAAACTAATAAATGCATCATAAACCTTTTTAAATTTCATATCAGAATAAGGCTAATTCTCCGCGACAAAAAATTAAACCAGAGAAAAAGCAATTTATAAAAATAAGAAAAAACAAAAAATGCGCTAACTTGCCAGAAAATATTAAACAAATACTGTATATAATAAAAAATTAAGGAAATGCCTATTTTCACCATTGGCCGTAATTTATCATGATGATATATTTGTAGTTGTAAGCCTCATGAAAACATGGTGAAATAGTAAATTTCCATGGTGGAAATAGGTGTTCCCTAAATTAAATAAATATAAAATTATAAAATATGAAAAATAATAATGTAAATACGACCGTATAAAAGAAATAATTACAAAATAAATTAAAATGTATCTTCGAATCTATTAATGTTTTGTTTTTGATATCATCGCGCACTCTATCGTAGGTTATAATGATGGAACAGTGGGGACAAGAATATCCGGAATTGGTATGTAATTCGAGAAGGACTAACGCTAAACCATTTTCAATAATTTAGGGCTTAATGCTAAATAAATGCTGCAATTTTGATTTAATGGATGTGCTATCAAATAATGCTGATATCTCAAGAATGAATAAGACTTTGTTGATGATTTTGGATTTAAATTAATGCTCTTCAAACATTAGTCGTTGTTTAAGCCAAAAATTATTGAAAGTGGTTTAACAATTCTTGAGGTACAAGCATCTGGTGTACATGATGGTTAATAATCGTATGTTTTTGTAGCATTTAATATGTATATTTCGAGAACTGTTGGTCCATTTTTGATGAGATTTGTAGCATTCAGAATCGTTGATAATAGATCAGCCGTTCTCAAATTATATAAGTACAACATTTTCCGGATATTTTTGTCGCCCGCTGTATTTCCTCTGACAAATCAGCCATCATGTATATCCTCTTCGTCAGATTAATATCTGGCACAACATCTTGAGCCAAGAAGAACATTAGGTTACCGAAACAACCCGTCACGATGAGCTTTCAATTATTGAATACTTACGAAGAACTGGTAACGTAACTTGACAAAACTACCTTCGCGCTTCATTCAGCGAACCCTTCTAACAATTAATCATTAGAATACTCGAATCTTCTTCCTAAAGCGTAGCTGGATTAGCCTTCAACTGGTTTAAAAATTTGGTTTGCTTTTTTTTTTTTTTTTTTTTAAAAAAAAAAAAAAAAAAAAAATATAAAAGCTTTAATTTTTTTTTTTTTTTTATTGGTTATTTTTAACAATTAGAATCGTTTTTTTTTTATTTGATCACAAAATCTTTCATAGTCAACTGAACTCCCCTTCACTAGCATAACCACAAAATTATTTACGTAACCGTTGTTTAAAAAGATTGAAAGATTGCTATTATTTTTTTTATGAAAACTTTTATTATATTAAATTTATATCAATATATATCGGCAAATTATTCAAACTCCGTATGTTCGTAAAAAAAGATATTTATACGCCCATCAATCTGTGAGAAATATAGCATGGTTTATTTACCATTTCAATTCGTGAACAAATAAAGATTCTGGTGAAATTAACCATCTCCAGAAACAGATGCCTCATCCAAAATTACTGTAAACCATTTTTTTTAAAAAAAAAAAAGTGTTGGGAAGGTTACTATATCCAATTGTTTTCAAAACAATTGGACATATGTCCAATCTTTTTGAAAAAACTGGACATAGAATCTTCCCAACACTGAAAAAAGTATTTATTGCACTATTTTAAAAGTGTTATTAATTTGAATGATATTTATAAATCTTGTAAGTCGAATTCACAAAATTGAAAATACTGGAAACTGAATTAATTGCTTGATATTTGTTTAATACAATAATTATCGAAAGAATATCTTAAGATAGTTCAATGTGCGAGCATAAACAACCATAAACAACCATAAAATAATGCAAATAGTATCATATATATATACCTAGATAAAATGAAAAATAAACATAGATGAAGGGTATCGAAACAATTTTAAACGCTTGATCACGTGGGTGTTCCATAACTATATGTATTTTGTAACAATGGATTTGATCACAAATATAATCACTATATTTTTATATAAAGTAGGGTTGGGGGCACGGGGGTGTGATTTCAATTTGTCACAGGGGCACGGAGGTGTGATGTTAATCATTACATGGAAATTATTAATTACATGTGATGTTTTATCATGTGATGATTTAGGGTGTTATGCCGTGCCCCGTGTGATGATTTTCCGTGCCCCAACCCTAATATAAAGGGGATGTAATTACTAATACGATCTCTTTCCTTCTTTTTCAACGTATTAACGATAACAGTTTTATTTTGAATCACGGGGACAAGAAAAACGTGATAAAACGGAACCTGAAAACAACGACAACCAATTCGAATGCCAAATGGTCAATTTAAATTATTATCATTTTTACCTGATCCAAAAATTTCTGCAGGCAAAATTTATATTAAAAATTTTTTTTTGTTTTACTAATTTTAAGAATGCTTGGTTAATTATATAGACAAAGAACATTATAAAGAGTTTGATGAATTATATGGAAGACTAACCGATGATTATTACATCAAAAAATTTTGAATAAAGAATCTCAAGCGGGTATTTTTATAAATATGAAAATTAGGCTTTTGATTTGTTGTAATTTTTGTGGGAAATATTATTGCATTTATAGCGACACAGCTTTAAGTGAAGAAAAATTTCAAATACAGTAGTTATACAATACTTTGAAAGTATATCCTATAGTTGTGGATCACCGGTTCTTCCAGAAAACCATCCACTTTTTAATCTATCATATACACCAAAATATTACTTGTGATTCACCTATTGAACGAAATTATTACTTAAGCCATTTAAAAGATATTGATTTATATTACTGGTGTGGAGCCGAAGATGGTCCTTCTGATGAGTTAAAGACACAATTTAAAAATATTTACCCATTATGTTCTTTATGTTATTCTTATGGCCGTAAATAGTTTACTCGTGGGCCAATTGTGTTTCAAGCAAAAAACAAAAAAGTTCGTACTTACAGTAACATAAATAAATCAATAGATATTATCATTTATATATGAATTAAATAAAAATTTACAATAGTGTTTAATTTATTATGTTTGTTTAAAATTTTCCTCCCCCCCCCCCCCACGCCTGAACCCAAAATCTTGACGTTAACCAACTAATTAACTTTAAGCGGCCTAAATTAATTTTAAACTAGAGGATTTCATTTCCTAATGCGCTCCTTTTTATTATTTGAAATTTCTGAGATCGCTATTCAGAATTTAAAATTTATTACCCTTAATTCGGGCCATACATTACTAGAACTCTAGTGTTACCAACCCAAAGATTTTATTAAAAGAATTTTGCTGTTACTGTAAATTAAGAACATAATTTGCTATTATATTAGGTTAGAAAGAACTTCGTTGATGCAAAAAATTCACGGGTTAACCTTTTTTAGTGTTTCGATCCGAAATCCGACTGTCTGAATTGATCCTTAAATCTAGATAAATTCAGATATTCAGATTATTCGGATTGGTCAAGAAGCTTAAATAACGAACCTAAGAGTGCACACAAAAGTTGGCTTTATATATAATTTAATGCGGATTCAATCCGGATTTAATAGAATCCGGATTTCCTGTTAAAAATAGGATCGAAACACTAACCTTTTTTAGTGCATTGAATGTTTAGGGTAACGGCACTAGAGCAGCTAAAGACTCATGGGCTGAAATTCGTCTGATTGGCTTGTGCAAATCAATTGCCCGGGTAACTTATTTATGCACTTTAAAGTACTTTTTGAGAACGCAAAATTACACAAGTAAAAAATCGACACAAATATCATTTCTAGCTTCAAAAGAGCACTAGAAAGTTAACTTCAAATTTAATCTCTTGTAATCTCTTATTTAGAGAAGTTAGCTTTGACACAACCTGTCGAAATAGGTAAAGAAAAAAAGCTTCATCTGAATTTTAAAGTATATTAAAAGACCATTACTAACAAAACAACCGCTTTTTTGTTTTAAAGATTGAGATTTTATGTTAGATGTTTGAAGCAAGACAGGCTTGTTTGCATAAGAGATCTTGGCTTTAGATTTAAAATATTCTTTAGATTAA